ACACACACATACACACACAAACACACTCACATACATAAATGTACACGTTCATTTCGCGGGCAGACAAACACTTTTTTAAAATTCATTGTAGGTTTACAGAACAAACAGATGCATTGACTCTTTTTTTAGGATCAACTCCGGGCAAAAATTGCTCTTACTGGAATTTATCGAAATAGCACAAAGAAGTGATCGAAAATAACTTACTTTGCTGCCCGGGTTTTTGCATTTTCGCGTGCATAGTAGGATACCACAGCGAGTTTCCAGGCACAGGTTCACGGCCGAATGTTAAAGCTGAGACTTCTTTTGACTCACAATTCCCTCCACAAAAGGTCTCATTGTTTTGTGAATTATTTGGCTGTTGTCGCTCCTGTGACTGTGAAGCAACTATTAAACAATTATTTACTGTTCTTGATTCTAGTGGTTTTAAAGTTGACGGCATATGAAATCCGAGTGCAAATGTGGCCGCCTGTGGTGGTGAGGAAGCATCACATCCGCTTTTCAGGCAGTTGGTAGCCTCATGGATGTGATCACTTATTATCGATGTGGGGCGACTTTGGTCAGAAAGAGTAGTAAGGGACTGAGAATTGTGGTTGCTTTCATTGCCGTTCTCAGCGCTCTCCTTTAATAAGGTAATACTTGTGTCTTGGAGGGTGTCCGAATAGGGTGAAGCGGATGCCGCTAGTGTCGAAGAGGAGAGAGGCTGACGGAAGTCTGCATAATTCCACGCTTTCGTTTTGTTGTCCTTATTGGACTGCATGGCGTGTGTTAAGAGGGTAACCGAACCGTCAGAATGGTTGCTTTTAGCGTGTTCACATGCTGTTGTACGGCAGCAGGTTGGTGAGGGTGATCGTTTCACTGGAGGTCGAGTACTGAATAAGCTGCAAGAGAAAGGTGCTGAGGAAGTGAGGACTGTTGTGCGGCTAAACGAAACCGGCGTTATGCATGACTGATGTCGCTGCGCAGGTTCATGCACAATAGATTGTTGCTTCGGTAAGGCGGCACCAGTAGGTGACTGATTCAAAGTGAAGCTAGGGACGGGGTACGAAGTACTCGGCATTGAATATTGATAATTTGATACCGTAGAAGGATTCGTCTGTTCGAATAACGTAGGTCCGCTTCTACTGCTACGGTCAGTTTTACCGCTTGTAGCAGTGCTATGAGATGAAGCGGTGGTTGGCATTTTTACCTCCAATTTACTGGCTATTTGCTTTCGAAGAGAGGCAACGGACTGACGTTCTGGGATTTCGACTGAGCCCTCAGCCTTTGTAATGCAGCCATTCCTTGCTTCAGTACGCATTTTCCATTTTGCATCACCGAATGAAGAAGAGTCTACTGCTGCCGGAATTCCGGTTGGAGGAGGTGGTGCTGGCGGCACCGGCACTGTCTCCATCACCTGCAAACACAGACATTTACTGACATCGGTATTATCCTGTACTTTTCTGTGCTTCAGTCAAAAAGAGATCCTCCATGCCACCTCTTCCTCCCCTGTCTAACCGTTCAGCAATTATTTTAGCTTCTGAACAGCACTGGTTTTACCTTTCCCCAAGCAATCAACTTACAATATTACCATTCATGTCTTCGATAACTACAGATGCCTTTTTGAGACCTTGCTTATTTCCAAAATAAGAAATTATCGCGTATCTTAGCCATTCTTTTGTAGAACTGAAATTAAACGTTGCTTCGCTGTTGTCCTTCGAAATGACATGCGTGCGTAAAACAAGCAGTGGGTGTAGGATGAGGATTTGTAGTGCCGGACCGAAGGGTCGGATAAAGCTGCGCCTCACTTGATGTGGGACATCTCGACAACGCCAAAGTTTCACGCTTACAACACTGGTGGTCTTGATGAATTTTAAAAGTCACATAAGAAGTTTTGAGAGATCTTGCAGGGCAAGCCTGGCTGAGGACATCTGGCAGTGATTCTAGGCTGCAAACGGGGAGATAAAAAATTGAAACAAACGATAACAGAAGGAATGCCATTAATCAAGATGCTGCGTAATCGTTAATAAGTAATAGACTGTTGTGGATCGAGGAAGAGGTATGAATGCCAGGGGTGTGTTTTGAAGCTGCTTGCCAGGTGCTAGTAGCATTATGCAACCGACAGCATTTTCCAG